CCCTTGTCACCATCATTTCTTGCCTAGGTTATCACAGCAGCTTTCTTTCTTTTTTTTTAAGCTGAGCCATCCTGCCACCTGTTGGCAACTCAGCAGCAGCTCAGCTCGGGCCGGGTCTCGAACCGCTGTTGCTGAGAGCTCGCACTCTTGAGCGAGCTCTTAACCAACTGAGCCACTCGGCCGGCCCCACAGTAGCTTTCTTAACCGATCTGTGTGCTTTCCTTGCACACTAGCTTGAAAGATGATTTGAAAATTTAAGTCAGATCATGTCACTCCTCTGCCTAAAACCCTCCGAAAAAATCAAGGCTGAAGTTTTTACAGTGACCGCCGAGGCCCTACATCATTGGCTTTTCATTACCTCATTGGCCTCAAGTTCCGTCCCTTACCCGGTCTTGATCTTGCTCCTCCCCTTAACTGCTATGCGTCTCCTGCATATCTGCACGTTGCTGCCTCCCTTCTTCCAGGCCTGATCAAATGTTAGTTTATCTCTGAGGCCCTCCCCAGCCACCCTATCTAAACAGCATCTGTTGTTTCTCACTCTCTCTCTACTCCCCTCTCACTGCTTGTCAATAATAATATCGGACAATAGTATCTGACATTGTGGCATTTATCCACATCTGACATTTTATTTATTTTTATAATAGTCTTTATTGTCTGTCTCCTCCATCATAAAGAAAGCTTCTCGAGGACAGGGATGTTATTCTATTAACTGTTTTGTTCTCAGTGCCTGGATGCCTTGCCTGGGATAGGTGCTTCGTGTTTGTTGAATGAATGAATTTAATAAGCCTTCTCTTTTATTATCCCGGTTCATTCTTTTAAAAAAGCTTTAATGAGATGTAATTCACAGATGATACAGTTCACACATTTAACGTATGTAGGTCAGCGGTTTTTAGTATATTCACATATTGCAAGGATCACTACGGTTGTAGGACGTTTTCTTCATCTCAAAAAGAAACCCTATACCTGTTAGCTATCTGCTCCTCCCTTTAAGTAAGTACTAATCTATTTTCTGTTTCTGTGGACTTGCTTATTCAGGACATTTCACATCAATGGGATCATGTGACATATGGCTTCTTGTGTCTGGCTTATTTAGCATCTTTTCGAGGTTCACCCAAATTGTAGCATTTATCAGTACTTCATTCTTTTAATGGCTGAATAATGGTCAATCGTATGGATTCTCATTTTATTCTTAAAATGAACCTAAGAGCTATCATTTCCATTGTTCAGATGAGAAAACCTGAGATGGAAACTTGCCCAGGTCCCAGCACTAGTAAGAGCTCAGAGGTACACTTAGGTTTGTGTGATCAGAGCCCTAATCATAACGCTGTAGGACTCTCTGTCCTCAACACGCGATTTATGACAGCTCTTCCTTCACCCTTGCGCTGCCTTTCTCCTCTACTGTTGTAAAACACTGTAATTGGGCCAATATTTGTTGAGCAGTCTCTTGATTGTCAGTACTGGGACTGTACCTTGAGTATTGACTTACTGTTCCTGGGAACATTGAATTAGCCTATAAAGGCCCAGGATCATTTGACATTAGAAATTACTCTTTGTACCACAAATGGTGGCTTGGAATTCATGAGGGAGAGAGACCTTGCTGGAAACTAGAGGAAGTTTTATTTATTTTTTCTCATGAAACTTTGTTTTAATGAGTCTCACAATTCAGTGACAGATTTTTGGTCATGTTGTTGCCATTAAAAGTACTGATTTTAAAAACTGCCACACACAAAAATAAACTGAATGGTCCACAGAATATTCTCCTTTACTTCTGCAGGTTTTACGATGTGTTGTAATCATTAACTGGTCTTTTACTATTACACTTAAATGGCCAATTGAGACAAACAGTTCTGAGACCCGTTAGGAATTTTTTTTTTTTTTAAGATTTTTTATTGGGGAATTGGGGGATGGGAACAGTGCTGGGGAATTGGGGGAAGGGGAACAGACAAGTTGCTGTCGTTTTTTTGTTCTTCAATCTAGTTGTGGAGGACGTTGCTTCACTGGCCCAAGTTGGCACCATCATTGCGCTCTTCCCGGGCGAGGCAGATCAGTCGCCGGCTTCTGGACGGCCGCTCACTGCGGCTGCTGGCCGCTCACGCTGGCTGCTGGCTACACACGGTAGCCCATGGCAACCCACTGCAACAGGGGCTGCAGCCTACGCCGCTGCCAGTGACTCACGGCAGCCCAGCTTCAGGTTGAGCTGTTGTTCAACATCTTAGCTGTGGAGGGCAGTGTCACTGGCCCTCATAAGTGGGATCTGAACCGGGGCCCTCTGGCGTCCCAAGCCAGCTCTTAACCAACGTGCCACTTGGCCGGCCCCTGTTAGGAATTCTTTGAAGCAGATGCTACCCACGGTGGATTTCATTATTTGTGTGTTTTTAAAACTTTTCATTTTGAAATAATTTCAAATTTACACAAATGTTGCAAGAATAGTACAAAGAACTGTTTACTTTTCATCCAAATTTACCAGTTAACATTGTATCACATATGCCTCCTCCCCCCAACACAGTATATATAATTTTATTCTGAACTATTTGAGAGTTAAGTTGCAGACAGATGCCTCATTACTCCAAAATACTTCTGTATTTCCTAAAAACAAGGACACACACACATAATCACAGTACACTCATCAAAGTCAGGGACATTTACATTATAATAGCACCATCATCGAATTCCTAGCCCCCTTTCAAATTGTTTCTGTACCGTCCTTTATAGCAAAAGACAAAACAAATGACAACAGACAAAAACCCTCTCTTCCCTTTGTCTCCCTTCCCTCCGGTCTATGATACAGTGCAGAAAGAATCGTGCATTGTATCAATTGTGTCTTGTCATTGGCCTGTAATCTGGATAGTTCTTTGGCGCCCCTCCCCACTGCACGGTTTTCACAAATTTTGAAGAGTTTATGCCACTTAGTTGAATGTCACTCATTTAGGGTTTGTCTGATGTTCCTCATAATTAGATTAGGCAATGCATTTTTGGCAGGAATATCAGAAATAACACTGTGTTCTTCTCGGTGCATGATGTCAGGAGGCACATGATGTCAGTTTCACCCGTAACTGGTGATGTGCACTTCCACCAGTCGGCTAAGATAGTATCTGTCAGAGTCTCCAGTGTGAACTTCAATTAGCAGTTTTTGCTTGTTAATTAACAAGTAATTACTAAGCATTTTCTGGGGAAGTGCTTTGAGTTGCTGTCAATATCCTGTCTCCCCGCTGAAATGTTCACTCACTAGGTTTAGTATCCATTGATGATTCTTGCCTGAACCACATACTAATATGCTGGTTACCAAATGGTGATTTTCTGTTTTTCCTTCCATAATTATTATATGTGATTCTTTGTGATTCTCTTGGAAGGAGCTTTCTCTTTCTCCCCGTGTGTGTGTGTGTGTGTGTGTGTGTGTGTGTGTGTGTGTTTTATTGTGGTTAAATATACACAACACACAATTGTTTTAGCTATATTTAAGTGTGCAGTTCTGTGACTTAAGTACCTTCACGTTGTCGTGCAGCCATCACCACCATCTGTCCCAAGAATATTTCCATCTTCCCAGCTGACACTCTGTCTCCATAAACAATATATCTCCTTTCCCCCTTCCCCCCAACCCCTGGCAACCACCATTCCATTATCTGTCTCTATGAATTTGACTCCTCTAGGTGCCTCATATAAGTAGAATCATATAGTATTTGCCCTTTTGTGACTGGTGTATTTCACTCAGAATAATGTCTTTAAGGTTCATCCATGTTGTAGCATGTGACAGGATTTCCTCCCTTTTTAAGACTGAATAATATTCCATCGATGCACATAATCACATTTTGTTTCTTCATTCATCTGTCGATGGACACTTGGGTTGCTTTTACCTTTTAGCTATTACGGATAATGCTGCTATGAACATGGTGTGTGCAAATATCTGAGTCCTTGCTTTCAGTTTTTTGGGTATCTACCCAGAAGTAGAATTTCTGGGTCATATAGTTCTATACTTAATTTTTTGAGGAACAGTAATTCATTTTTAAAAATTAATATCTGTGCGGACTCTTGGTTTCCTATTTTATTCAATGGGTTATCGTCTGTTAATAGCATTGCTTATTTTGAGGTGCAAATGTCTCTGATTTGGCCAGTGGGAGGCCCATCAAGCTGGCCCTGTATCCTTTTGACATGTTTTCATTGGAGCTGTTTCGTGCTGTGGCACAATAAGGTGTTTCAAGCTCACCTTCCTTTAACTGCCCCAGCCCTGGAGTCAGCGGTTTCTCCAAGGAGCCCAGTTCCTTTCATTGGAGAATGGTATTTAGCAACCAGGATAAGGTTACCAGGTGTACTGATGAATCCTGGGGTGTCATTGCTTTCAGGTCCTTTCAGAAGAGAGCTAGGAAAATGCGAATGTATGCGTGCATGTCTATAGTACATATACATACACAGAAACATGCATCTATATTCCTGCATCTGTATGTCTTATCTCCGTATGTGTATTAAACACTAGAGTTTGTGATGTTAGATTAGAATTCGAATCCAACACCACAGGGTTTATTCTGGCTTTCTTCCTTCCCATGTTTGTATCTCCCTCTCCAACAGTGAGACGCCTGGCTTCCATTATCCTCAATATGTTTACTTATTATTTGCTCAATCCCGCTCCATGTGTTCAATCTCCTGACCACATGGACTGTCTTTTTGGGCTTGGCCAACCAAGGGACTGGCAAAGTGCCCATTCCTCCAGCCCCAGCCCCACTGACCCTGTTTTCAGCCCCAGCAACTGTGCTGGCAGGATCCCAGGCCCCTACCACTGGACGGCAAGGTGGGGGCCGTGACCAAGGAGAAGAGAGGGGAGGGCAGGAGGGTCTTGATTTGTATTTTTATTAGCTGCTCTACTCATAGGCAGCACATCTGTGATGGTGTGGAAACTAGTGCTGACAGAATCCTTTTTTTTGTTTCTCTCTCCCTCTCTCTCTCTCTCTCTCTCTCTCTCTCTCTCTCTCTCTTTCTCCCCCCTCCCCCCTCTCTCTTTCTTTCTCAAGATGGTTTCACCCAAATATCACTGGCGTGGAGGCCGAAAACCTACTGTTGACAAGAGGAGTTGATGGCAGTTTTTTGGCAAGGCCCAGTAAAAGTAACCCTGGAGACTTCACACTTTCCGTTAGGTAAGTTGGAAGACAAAAGGAGACTCCTGAGAGTGTTTTCCAGGTAGGAAACGTGCAAACCCTCCGTGGACAGCTTGCTGCCCCCCTTTCGAGTTTGCAGGCCTGCCCGCTGCCCTGTGGTGAGGCCGGGCCCGCAGATCAGACGTGATTCAAGCCTGCTTGCGGGGCTCAGGACGGGGTCTCCTGAGTGAGAGGCTTGGAAATTCAGCCAAAGGGGGGGTGATGGTGGCCATTTCTTCTCCCCTAGACCACTGAGGATGAGTCGGAACCGAGTATAACCCATCCCTAAGCCACCCACTGCTCGCTTCCCGCTCTGGTTCCACTCATCCTGAACCCGGTTCCCTGCATTTGTCCTTCCCTTCTGTTGATCTCTTCGTGGGAAAAATACTTGTAAAGAGTTTCGTCAGATCCCTTGTCCTTTGCAAGAAATAAAACATCACTGAGGAAGTTGTGGTGCCCTGTCTGCCCCTGCCCAGTCCCATTCCCCTCCCTCCTTCCCCAGAGGAAGCCGCCCCTGAGAGGCTGGCATATACCCTTCCTGAACATGTTTTTATACTTGGACTGCACTTGGACTGTGTAGGAACAATGTCACGTTGGTGTGTGTGTTTTTAAAATTCACATCCATGGCTCTATAATGTATGTTATTATTCTGTAACTTCCTTTAAAAATTTTTAAGTTCTATGCTGGTCCATATAGGTCTAATGATTAATTTTAATGGCTATATAATATGCAAACTGTGTGAACATCCCACGGTTTATCAGCCCCCTATGGTTGGACGTTGGGTTGTTTTAAATGTTTCTGAACAGCGTGGCCAACATCCTATCACATGTCTCAGGGTAGGTGTGGGAGAATTTTCTAGAAATTTACTCACTCTTACATACTCATTGTCTTTACCCTCGCTCATTCCAAAAGCTATTGTAGAAATGAATTGCTTTGTGAGTTTGCTTTTATTTTTATTTTTAAAGAAAGATGTAAGTAAAATGTGTTTTTCAGGATTTTTTTAGGAGCCCTTTGGGACTTGGGAAGTCCCTTTTTGGTATAGATTCGTTTCTTGAGGAGTTTTCTGGGCTTTTGCCGGCACAGACGTCTAACCTAAAGTTATGTGATGTTAGATCTATAAGAGTTTGGATGGTGATTATATAACAATAACAATGATGATGGGGACTTGACATTTCCTGGGCTGCTGTGCTAAGCCCTCTATCCTCATTATTTTATTTATTTTCCACAACAACCTATGAATAAGAACCACTATTATCTTTTTTTTGTTTGTTTTGTTTTTGTTTGTTTTTTATTTTTTTATTTTATTTTCTTTAGCTGAGCCATCCTGCTACCTATTGGCAGCTCAGCTGCTGCTCAGCTCGGGCTGGACTTGAACCGCTGTTGCTCAGAGCTCAAACTCTTGAGTGAGCTCTTAACCAACTGAGCCACTCAGCCGGCCCTTGAGAACCATTATTATCTTTATCTTACATGTGAGTAAGCGGAGGCACAGAGGTTAAGTTAGTAAGTTGGTCTCAGAGCTAGTATGCAGCAGACCTAAGACTACAGAATTGGTCGGGTTTTTCCCCTTACCTTTTTGTTCTGAGATATTTCAGACCTGTAGAAAAGTTGAAGGATGAAATACAGTGAGCAACCACACTCCCTTTCCCTGTACACATTTTGCCATATTTGCTCTTTCTCTTTATGAGTGTGTGTTTGTGTGTATTATATACTTTTCCCTCCTGAACCTTTTGAAAATAAGTTGCAGATATCAGGGCATTTATGGTTACCTCTAAATACTTCGGCGTACATGTCTTATGAACCAGGAGATTCTCCTGTGTAACTACAATATCATTCTATAAAAGAAAATTTAGCATTGATTCAATGATATTATCTAATGTATAGTCATTTTTTTTTTTAAAGATTTTTTTATTGGGGAATTGGGGGGATGGGAACAGTGCTGGGGAATTGGGGAAAGGGGAACAGACAAGTTGCTGTCGTTTTGTTCTTCAATCTAGTTGTGGAGGATGTTGCTTCACTGGCCCAAGTTGGCACCATCATTGCGCTCTTCTCTGGCGAGGCAGATCAGTCGCCGGCTTCTGGACGGCCGCTCACTGCGGCTGCTGGCCGCTCACGCTGGCTGCTGGCCACACACGGTAGCCCATGGCAATCCACTGCCACAGGGACTGCAGCCCACGCCGTCGCCGGCGACTCACGGCAGCCCAGCTCCAGGTTGAGCTGTTGTTCAGCATCTTAGCTGTGGAGGGCAGTGTCACTGGCCCTCCCTCATATGTGGGATCCGAACCGGGGCCCTCTGGCATCCCAAGCGAGTTCTTAACCAACGCGCCACTCGGCCGGCCCTAATGTATAGTCATTTTTGAATTTCCCTCATTATTTGAATACTGGCTTTTGAGGCCCTCCCAATATTTCACATCAGGAAGCACATAGTATCTGTTTGCCCCATCTTTTGGTGTTTATGCTCTTGGAGGGTCATTGCGTCTAGGCCCTTACAGCAGACAGAGCTGGGAAATAAATATTTACATATTTAAAACCAAGTGTTCATACTGATAGTTCCAGTTCAACTCAACTTCCTCACCTTTCCCCATTCCATGTTTGTGTTTCTCTTCTCCTGTAGGGAGAACAGTATCAATAGATGACCTCATTTGCCCAACCCTGTAATACAAGCATAGACTCAGAATGACTATATCATTATCATTTCTAATTACCCCGTTAAGTAAAGTTCATGATTTCTTTGGAGTCCTTTTGTTCTTCAAATGGATCCCACTTAGGGTGTACAGTCAGTGCTATGTTCAAAAGTCACAGGAATTCATTTTCTGTGAAGTTAATGAACTTACTACAAAGTTAGATTCATTTCTTTCATTTTGTATTCAGTCTTTTTGTTATGCATTCAGTTTTTTGGTCTTTGTTGGTTTAATTTTTTTTGAGTGTGTGAAACATTTATAAGATTTAAAAGTACACTATATAAAAAGGTATATTCTTGGGCCGGCCGAGTGACTCAGTTGGTTAAGAGCTCGCTCAAGAGTTTGAGCTCTGAGCAACAGGGTTGCCGGTTCAATTCCCGGCCCAAGTGAGCTGCTGTTGAGCTGCCAACAGGTGGCAGGATGGCTCAGCTAAAAAAAAAAAATAATAATAATAAAAAAATAAATAAAAATAAAAAATAAATAAAAAGGTATATTCTCAGAAATCTCGTTCTTATCCCTTACCCCTTGGACGCCATTTCCTTCTGTCCCTGTGGGTAACCATTTCCGTTAATTTCTGATTTACCCTTCTGTGTTTCTTTCTACACATGAAGTAGAACATTAAATACATTCCTTTGTAGTTTACTCTTTTCACTTCCATTAATCTTTTAGTACTCCTTCTCATCATTTTAATCAACTGTATAGCATATAACTTGATACAATTTCCTACAGATGGGAATTGGTTTCCAATATTTTACAATGATATATAATGCCACAATGAATATAATAAACTTTTGCATATGTTTTGTGCTTTTGGACATGTATCTTCAAGTTGAATTGCTGGGAGTGAGATGACTGGGGCAGAGAGTAAAAGTATGTGTAGTGTGGTTTTTTTCATATTCCCCTCTGTAGTGACGACAGTAGTATCATGACTGTACCGTTTTCACTCCCACCAGCAGTGGATGCGAGTACTTGTTTTTCCACAGCGCCACTAGCTGAGTGTTGTCTGGATTTTCGTTTTGACCAACATGATAGGTGAGAAATGATGTCTCAGTGAATTTTAATTTTCATTTCTCCAGTAGTTGAAGCGGAACATCTTTTCATCAAGTTTAAAAGCCACTTGTATTAATATATCTTTTTCGTGAACTGTCTTAGAATCGGTACTTTTAACAACTCTGCAACACTACCAAGTTTCACTTTTTATGTTTCCTTATAGATGATACATGTTATAGATACTGTAATATATGTATGTGTGTGCACACATGCATATATGATATGCTTATTCCGGTTCTCTGCAGGCAATCTAACCTTTTTGTTATGTGCCCATGCTGAAAAATTGGTGATTATATTGCCTTATATTCAGTCCATCACAGAAGGCCCTCCTTTTTTAATTTTGAGGGGAAAAAATACAGAAAAATACAAAAATTTATGAACAATCACCTGTGTTGTATTTATTGCCAGTCATTTTTTTCTTCAAAATAAAATAATAACATAAAGCCAAGTTTCCCTTACCACCCTTGATCCTGTTTTTCCCTTTGTCATGAGTTTCTGCCTAGTTCATTAAAACAATAGTACACACATTTATAATGTAATAAATAATATACTATATAAAGAATAATTTATAATAATAAAGTATACATATGTGTATGTATGTCTGTGTCATGAACAATATATAGCGTTACTTGTGTGTGTTCTTAAATTTTCATAAATGGCGTGTGCTAAGCATATCATTTTGCATTGTGTCTCTCTCGTGCAGCATTAGGCCTTCGAGATCCTTCCGTATTGCTGTATATTGATCTAGTCCATACCTGAACGTCTTTGTGTTATGTCATTAAGTATAGGCTGGAAATTACAAGCTCAGGCGTTAAAATAGAGTGAGCCGTAGCTGGAGGTGCGTGGCCTGAAGTGCCTTTTTACCCACTAGAAAAGGTTGTCACCAAAAACCAGGAGTAGATCTTGTCACTAACATTAAGGGGTTGATTTTTCTCACTTTCCTTAGTTCCCATCTTCCTTTTCTTTAGCAGAAATGTGTTTATGTTTCCCAGCAGCTTTATCAATAATGATACAGGGTCAGACTAAAAATAAATATATGTCAGTGGTTACCCCACGGGGTTGCCAGACTGCTAGGGTCCACCTAGGTGATAATGGGCATCCTGGAGATGTATTTAGTAGTTCAGAAAACCAAATGGGAATCAAAGACTGCTTAGGCGAACTAAAATATCCAGTGTTAGAAACTTTTGGCCAGTGTTACGTCAACTCAGTGGAATAATATGTTAGTCATGTCATGCTGGAAACTATCAATTATATGTGTCTTTCAAATGATTTTTTAAGATACAATTATATACAGTATCTGAAGTATACAGTGAGATGAATTTTGGCAACTGTGTATATGCATGTAACCAACACCCCAGTGAAAATAGTTTTTCCATCACCCTAGAAAGTTCCTTGTGCCCGCTTTCTACTATCCCTCCCTCAAAGAGGCAACCACTATTCTCATCTCTATCCCTATAGACTAATTTTGCTTATTCTACAATTTCCTATAAATGAAATCATATAGTATATACTCTTTTCTGTCTGGTTTCTTTCTCTTAACATAATGTTTTTGAGATTCATCCATGTTGTTGCGTGTATCAGTGAATTTTTTTTTAATTGATGTGTGGTATTCTATTGTATGAGTATGCAATTATTTGCTTATCCATTTTGGCTATAAATATTTGAGTTTTCAGTTTTTTTCTATTATAAATAAGGCTGCAATGAATAGTCTTATACAAGTCATTTGGGAGCCATACAGTTTCATTTCTTTTGGGCAAGATACTTAGGAGTGGATTTACTGGATTATACAGTAAATATATGTTTGTTTCGCTTTAATTATATGTCTTGATTAATGATGAGAAAAATGATTGTCACATAATATATTCAATTTGATAGGTATGACTTTCAAAGTCGAAGTTGTACAAGGGAAAGAAACTAATAAGCGGAGTTCTTTTTGTTGAAATCATTTTGTGGTTATTTCACTCATTGCATTTCTTACAGGGAAAGTGTAAACTCGTTCCTTGGGTTTGTGTTAATGTTTAGGTGAAATCTGATAATGAATATGAGATCCACGTTTACTAGTGTAGCTCTTTATTTTTTCCCCCCTGCCTTCCTAATGGACTATTTTAGAAGAAATGGCGCTGTCACCCACATCAAGATTCAGAACACTGGTGATTACTATGACTTGTACGGAGGGGAGAAGTTTGCCACTTTGGCTGAGCTGGTTCAGTATTACATGGAACATCATGGACAATTAAAAGAGAAGAACGGAGATGTTATTGAGCTCAAATATCCTCTGAACTGTGCAGATCCTACCTCTGAAAGGTCAGTGACGTTTTAGTAACACCAGAGTCTGTGCATCTCTCCCATGCCTTAGGTGTTATGTGAATGCATCATGGGACTTTGGCGTGTATGAGTTTGTCGAGTTGCGATGTTTTTTTTTTTCTTGGCTTTTAATGAAAACATTTTTTTCAATTACAGTTGACATTCAGTATATTAGGTTCAGGTGTACAGCATAGTGATTAGACATTTATATAACTTAGGAAGTGATCCCCTTGGTAAATCTTGCACCCACCTGACACCATATAGAGTTATTACCATATTATTGACCGTGTTCCCTAAGCTGTGCTTTACATCCCCATGACTGTTTTGTAACTGCCAATCTGTATTTCTTAATCCCTTCGCTTTTTTCACCCCAAGCTGCAGTCTTTAAAGTTTTATTAAATAAAGTAAGAGTAACAGGATCAGGTTATTCTCAGTGTCTTTTTGCAAAAGTTTTAGTCACTGTTTCTGACACTCATTCTACGGGGGTCTCAGACTATTCCTGTATATGCAGTAATTTTAAGACTGTTGAGCTGCAGCTGATCATCTTTTGAGAGTTATGAGAGGAAAACAAATGATACTGGAGACACCAAAATCCCAGCGGTTCTGGGTGGTAGCTCTCGACCCGTTATTCAGCAGTGCCACCAACAGATGTCAGTTTAAGCTCAGAAGTGGAAGAGCGGAGAGCTCTGAGGGTCTGATTTTTCGTCAGCTCTTTTCTGTCATCCACAAATGTATGAGAATGACCTTGCTTAGAGGGAATCGTATTATTTCAGAGCTCTTCCCTCTCCCCCCGACCCATGTTAGATCGAAGCTGATGTAAGCTGCGGCTTGACTTAATTTGTATTGATTTTATTGGTTTTTCTCCATTCCCAGTCCCCTCTGACTCAGTACAAATGCAGGGTGTCTTAATTAGGTTTGTATATTTTGTATCTTCAGGTAGTTTTCTTCAACTTGCACCTCTATGTCAATGCTATTATATGCTGATAATTTGTTTCTCCAGCTACCACTGTAGCTTCAAGCAAAAGGCTGTCTGCCAGCTCTGTGCAGTTTATTTCTAAATTTTACTCTGTTCAGTTGAGGGTGGATGAAAAATAACTCCAAGTATGCTCCTTTAGTGATGAGCTATAGCATTATCAGCCATGACAGTGCTTGTTTTCTTACCGAGAGCCTGAGGGGAAAAGCCACATTATTAACATAACCGTGTTAAGATGTTTTCTGTAGTAACTTAGAGTAATGTTGTCACAGAGCCTGTCCTTGGACGTCCTATGGCAAGACTCTGGTGTGCTGGTTAAAAATGCAGATTGCTGGACCCCATTCAGAATTAGAGTATTGGCATGTCTGGTTGTGAGCAGTGGGAATTCACATTTTCAGCAAAAATCCCTCACCCCTACTCCAAGTCTCATATGCATTACATTTTGAAATGATAACCCAATATTCAGGCCACAGATGTTGACAGCAAACTTGGAGGCTGTCCAAGTGTAAGTTGAAAATATGGAAAAATTTGAAATGCTTGAATTAATTTATAATGAAGATCCTTTGTAAGTTTGGTTCACATGCCAGAGCAAGGACAAACTTTCAAAGGATTCTCTGTCTCTACCACAACTTTCAAGTATAATTTCTTTAAATGGCCGTGATTACATAGTCCTTTTAGTGTTGGGCATGAAGAAATGACAAATTATGTTTTTAAAAGATGGGAGATGTAAAAGACGTAGGAAAGGGCCGGCCGAGTGGCTCAGTTGGTTAAGAGCTCAGTTGGTCAAGAGTGCGAGCTCTGAGCAACAGGGTCGCTCAGTCCCGGCCCGAGCTGAGCTGCCGCTGAGCTGCCAACAGGTGGCAGGATGGCTCAGCTTAAAAAAAAAAAAAAAAAGACATAGGCAAGATGGAGGAGAGTTGTCTCCAAATGACAGTGGGCTCATTTAAGAAGCCTAATAGTCTTCTTGACATCTTTGTCATTTTTCCTGCCTGCTTGGGTTGCAAATTCTGTCTGATGTGGGATCGCTTCAGTTTCTTGGACGGAACATGTCTGTTTTTTAATTGTGTTTATTGTGTTTAGGGGAGCTGACTCTCTATGGTAGCTTTGTGAAAGAATGTTGTGAACCCATGGCAGAACTCAATTTATTTTCATTTAAAACAATGTAGGTGGTTTCATGGACACCTCTCTGGAAAAGAAGCAGAGAAGTTACTGACTGAGAAAGGAAAGCATGGGAGCTTCCCGGTCTGAGAGAGCCAGAGCCACCCCGGAGATTTTGTTCTCTCTGTCCGAACCGGTGACGACAAGGGGGAGAGCAGTGACGGCAAGTCCAAAGTGACCCACGTCATGATCCGCTGCCAGGTAAAGCCTCAGTTGATTTGAACTATGGGTCCGGCAAAACGTCATCTTCGGGTGATTTTTCTGCTGGGAAAAGATAGACGCCATTATTTCCAAAGTCAGATTGTCCTCGCTTATGTGATCAGGGGCTTCTACACTTTTAGTACATTGCTCATTATCATCCCTTGAGGATTTCAGAACTGGATTAAATTATTTATTTCCAGTCTCTCTGACAGATTCAGTCACGCCTCAGTGTCACCTTCTGCCCTGTGGCATCTAATCTGTTTCCGCTCGATGGCCGCTGGAGTCGGCCTGTGTCTGTTTCTAAAGTGATGGCCTCGGCTCCTTCTTAGGCTTGTCCTGGTCTAGCTTGTGACTGCAGTTGCCTTCATGTTACACGTCCCTGCAGTAAGGACGGGAGACCTGAACTCACTATTTCTTGTTTTTAATGTGGTGACGGGACCAAGTAGGCTGATTCTTGGGTGATTATTGTCAAACTTTATTTTGGCATCGTTTCCAATAGAAACTGTCGGTTCACTATTGCTTCAGTTTTTAAATTAAAAAACAACAAAAAAACAGCTTAATGAGATATAATCCACACACTGTATAATTCAACCCTTTAGAGTGGACCATTTAGTGGTTTTTAGTGTATTTACAAATTATATAACCACGAACACTATGTAATTCCAGAACATTTTCATCACCCCAGAAAGAAACCCTGTGTCCATTACCAGTCACTCCCCATTTTTTCCCACCCCCAGCTCCTGGCAACCACTTTTTGTTTCTATGGATTTGCCTATTTTGGACATTTCATGTAGATAGAATCATATAATAATGTGACCTTTTGTGTCTGGCTTCTTTTACTTAGCATAATATTTTCAAGGTTTCTCTATGTCGTAATGTGTATCAGTAATTTATTGTCAAATATTCCATTCTATGGATATATACCACATTTTGTTTACCCATTAAAAAATAACGGACATTTTGGCAATTATGAATAATGCTGCCAAGAACATTTGTGTGCAAGTTTTTGTGATATTCTCCATTTGCTCATATTTTCTTCTAATTTGTAAAGTGTAGTTTCCCTTAATTCTTTGAACATATTTATATTAAGCTGATTAATTGTCTGTCCCTGGGATTTCTGTTGACTGCTCTGTTCCCCCTATGAATGAGTCATACGTTCCTGTTCTTTGCATGTCTCATACTTTTTGTTAGAAACTATACATTTTAAATAATATAATGTGGTGACTTGGGAAATCAGATACCTTCCTTTGCCAGGGTTTTTGTGCTTTTTATTGTTGCTACACTTGTTGCTGTTTGTGTGTTTGGTGACTTTCCTGGACCCACTCGGTAAAGTCTGTATTCGTGGTCACGTGCGGCCCCTTTAGTCTTTGCTTGGTTAGTTTAGTGGTCCGTTGATTATTAGAGATTACCTTACATGCCTTGAGCCATTAAATCTCCTAGCCTTTGCCAAAGGGGTATGTGTGTGTGTGTGTGTGGGGGGGGGCATGCCTTTAACACTCTGGCAGCTTAAAACTCCGCCTTAGCCTTCATTTCCTGTGTGCAGAACCGCAAGGTCAACTAGAGGTGAAGACTGGGGCCATCTCAGATCTTGGACTTCACCATGGTCTTCTAGATTCTCAAGAATATGTTGGAGGTTTTCAGAGCCCCTGATGGTCATTGCCTAGATTTTCCTTTTAAGTTTTTGGTCAGCCTCTTATTTGCCCTCACTGGTGTTGCCCCCTCAGGCAGCTGTGATATTAAGCAGTTGCTGCTGATTGTTTTTGGCAGATCCCCTGCAGACAAGGCTGAGTGAACCCTGATAATGAAAAGACAAGTTCGGAAAACAGGGCTTTTCCAGGAAGCTGCTAAACAGGCCGAATAGTGATTCTTCTCTGGGGACAGGTCTCTTAAGAGAGCTCCACATCCCCTCTGTCCCCTCTTGTGCTCAGCTGCTTGTTTTCATATCTATTGAGGCTGTTGGTTTTCAAAGCTACTGAGGAGCTGGGGAGAGGTGAGAGGTAGGAGGGCAAGTTAAAACATCACAGTTTGCTGTTTTTACCAAGATCTATCATTTTTCTTTTTTCTTTTTTTTTAGCTGAGCCACCCTGCCATCTGTTGGCAGCTCAGCTCGGGCCAGGAATTGAACCCGCGACCCTGTTCCTCAGCGCTCACCCTCTTGAGCGAGCTCTTAACCAACTGAGCCACTTGGCTGACCCCGATCTATCGTTTTTCTTGAATGAATACTCCTTGGACTATTGCAAGTTCTTGTTTAATTTTTCAGAGTTCTGAAAAAGTTGATGACAATTTTTGCCAGTGTTCCTGTTGCTTTTAGGGAAGAGCCAATTTTTCAGAGGTCTTTACTTTGTCATTCTGAAAATTTTATTTTTAAGTAAAAGATTGTACCCAAATATCTTCATCTATATTATTTCTAGGGTTTTATATTTCCTGAGTTTAACTGTTTTCCTGTTGTTTCCCTTAAGTAGCCTATTCTGATCTATGGAGCAGAGAAACTTTCCTGGTTTCTGCTTTTAATTTTTATTAGAAGATGAAAGTAAAGGCACGTGTATTGGGCTTCAGTGCTGTCTCACCAGCCTTGGAGTTTGTTGTGTTTCAGAGAGAAATGACTTTACCTTCTATTCAGCAGTCTTATGTATAGTCACTTAACCTAGAATAATAGAAAAGGGTAAAGAATACTGTTTTTCATTTCTTTAACTATTTAGTTAACTTACGAAGGAGAAACTTTCTTGTGGCCTAGTTGATGTTAGATGCTTGTTTAGAGCTTCTCATACCTCCCGATGCACTCTTTCACTTCGGGTCAGCCATTTCATTTTCATTATCCTGTTATATCCTTTCCTTTGTGCTAGTACAGCTGTTGGGGAAACTAACTTAACATAAAGGTAATATGTGTGTGTGTGTGTGTGTGTGTGTGTGTGTGTGTGTGTGTGTGTTTATTTATTTATTTGTCTTGAAAGGAACTGAAATACGATGTTGGTGGAGGAGAACGGTTTGACTCTTTGACCGATCTTGTGGAGCATTACAAGAAGAACCCCATGGTAGAGACGTTGGGCACAGTGCTACAACTCAAGCAGGTGAGCATATTGGAACGCTAAAGCGCCATCTCCTTTTAGAGCTGAAAACATCCCAATATAGAGTATTCCAAAAATGCAGAAGTAGAATAGTATCACGGACCTCCATGTACTCATCACCCAGCTTCAGTTACAATCAGCGCATCAAATCTTATTTCAGTTCTTACTCTACTCGCCCCCCTCCTCCTGGTATTTCAAAACAAATTCCCGATATAATGTCATTTCCATGACTGTCTCCATTTGCATCTCTAAAAGGCCTTACAGAGTTTTTAAAGTACCTTCAGGTGATCGAACTTACTCATTTTGGAGTTATTGCGATTTCAGAGTTCACTCTGATCACTTAGTGGCAAATGAGATTATCTCTCTGTGTTGTGGTCTGTTTATCAAGAAGAACAGATTGAATTTATATCAGCAGAATAAAGGGTATGTGGAGATTGGAGAAAGATATGTTTCCTAATAGAACAGAAAAGAAAGTGAAACTATTTGGAAAATGTTTATTGTGAATTACTGGGTCCTGTGAACTTCCTGTCCTTGCTTTTATAAACACCAAAACAGAAGTCTTTTTTTTTTTTTTTCATTAACACTTTCTTCTTTAATGCTTTCTTCATTTCCCACCAACTGCTGAATTTGATCAGCCCCTCAACACAACTCGTATCAATGCTGCTGAAATAGAAAGCCGGGTTCGAGAACTAAGCAAATTAGCCGAGACCACAGATAAAGTCAAACAAGGCTTTTGGGAAGAATTTGAGGTAAGTTATTAATTTTTTTTTTACATGAGTTAATTAAGTCCTATTTTTATTAGACGAGGAGTTGGTCTTCTGTTTGCAATTGGATCTGAAAACCTTGAATCCGTGTCCTTTTTTAATTCTGCCATTGATTGACATGGACCAAGTTGCTGAGGGGGCTTCTTTGAAATAGAAGGGCACTGTTTTCTGGACATGGGAGTTGGCAGTTAATATGAAACGGGTGAGCCAGTAGCTCCATTTGGCTCTTTTGGTTTGCTGGCAGAAACCCAGAAAAACAAAAGGATCTAATTCCTTGGGAAGACTTCCAGCATTGGCTGGGGTCTACAGAAAGAATCTATAGCCTTATTGCAATGAAGAAGTAAGTAAAAGCAAAATAGCTCATGGTGGCTTTAATTTGGGCCGCCAAATTTGTAACTTTGGGGAGTTGGAAGTTAAGTGAAATGATTTCTTTCCTGAAACCGGCTTGGGTAGGAGAATGTCCTCATTGGGAAAGTGCTGTGTTCCTGCTGTTCTCTGATATGTCACTTCCCATCATATTATAATCTCATTCTCGTTCTTCTCATCCATCTGACAGACAACTTCCTCAAAAAACAGGATTGTGCCCTATTTACCTTCATAGTTATCCGTAGCATGCAGCACAGAGCCTGGTACAAAACCCAGAAACTCCATAGATGGTTCATTATTCCATTCTTTTGTAGGACTTTAGAATTTGCAAATACTTGTGGAATGATTGGCCAGATGAAGTCATTTTCGCGACAGTATGTCAGATCAACTTATTGAGATATTATTTCTGTTTTACAGATAAGGGGCCTGAGGCTCAGGGAGGTGAATGAATTGCCTTTCCACAAATGTTGATTCCATTGCGGCAGTGGGGATGGGTACAGAGTAGATCACTCACAGTCCTTGCTCAGCGTTGCTGAACAGAGACTTGAACTCAGGTTTATTCTCTTATACCAGCTATTGGCTTAGTCACCGAGGATACCATGGCAAACAGGATGAATGGGGTTTCTGTCTTTAGGCACCATCCAGCTGAGAGAGGGGAGACAGTGATGAAAAGCATCACTGAAAAAGGGATGACAAACTTAATAAGATAGAATTTAAAAATCTCAAGCTCAGGATTCTCTTAATTGTATCCTGCCAGCCTAGATAACAAAAGGCAGCATTTCAACATTTATTGACTTACATTTACTTCATTTCAGTTAGTCTTTATAAAGCCTCATGAGGTAGGTGGATAAGTACAGAAATTTTAGAAGCCTTACATCAAAATTTGAATGAAAAACCTGTTTTTCAAAAGTGTTTATTATGTAAAATTGCAAATGTATACCAAAGCAGGGAGAATGGGCTAATCACAGCAATATACCTGTCACTCAGCATTAGCAGTTGTTGATATGTGGCAGTCTTTTTAACTACACCCCTGTTACCCCCCCAGCCTTGGCTTATCGCAAATCCCAGATGTCATTTCATCTTGAACTTTCATTTCAGAAATTATAGCCAGAATATTATCACAGCTAAAACTATTAACGAGAATTCCTTACTATTAACACCTGTTTACATTTTCCTGACACACACAACACACACACACACACACACACACACACACGCACACACACAGAGTTTGTTTGAATTGCAGTTTGTTTGATGGGAAGTGCTTCCACCACCTCCCTCCACTTGATTATGAAAAATTTTCAAGTGTATATAAAATAGATTTGTATAAAGAACTCCCATGTACCATTATCAGCTTCATCGGTTACCCCAGACATCATATATTATTTTATTCATAGATATTTCATTATTTATGGAATCCTTAAAAAATTTAACCAATGTGGGCTCATTCATTTCCTTGTCTAAAAAGAAGAGAAAACCCACGGTAGAGCGGCTCTGTTCCTTCTGGACATAGGAATCTCTGTGGTTTGACTACGCTGGGTGAAGATAAAATCTGTGATTGTTGTCCTGGATAAAAAACAAACAACCAAAATGCTACTACCACATCTGAAAAAGATAACGAAAATTCATCAAATATGCAGTCATTGTTCTGATTATGGTAGCTGTCTTATAATTTAAAAAAATGTTTGTTGTATTATTATTTAGGTAAATTACACACATACCTCTCTTTTTAAAAATCTTAAGTCTCAGGGCCGGCCGAGTGGCTCAGTTGGTTAAGAGCTCGCTCAAGAGTGCGAGCTCTGAGCAACATCAGTTCGAGTCCCGGCCTGAGCTGAGTTGCTGCTGAGCTGCCAACAGGTGGCAGGATGACTCAGCTAAAAAAAACACCAAAAAACAAAAACTTAAATCTCTTTAATATTTTGACTCTGTTTCTATCCTCTCCCATTCTCTCCCTGAGAAATGTCAAATGATATTTCAAATTCAGGACTTCAGGGTTTTTACTAACCTCATTGGTCTCACCCCTGTGTCTCCTTTCTTCTATGCCAAACATCCCACTTCTTGAAGCCATAATATGATTACTTATTTGCTTTATCCCACATTGCACATGCAACAGTTTCAGAATAATAAGATTTCTGCTATTCCCAATAATATGATTACTGAAAACAATTTAATATTTTTTCCAGTTTGTTTTGTTTTTTTAATCTTTAGGGCAGAGCCTAGAGATGTATAGTCAAATAACTGTGCTTTGAACTCATTTGTAATATTTTTTTCTCTGTGTGATTATACACTAGCTGGATATACAATTAGGTTATGTTTCATTTTATGTTTGGATTTTAGGTCTTTTCTATAATTCTATAAAGGTTTTATTTATAATTATATAAACTATTGCCTTTGAGTCTAAAGCCAAATCTAAAAAGTAATTCAAAGAAGTCTACCTTCTATCCTTATCTTTTCCTCCCTTTGTGTATAGCCATTTTCTAAAAAGTTGTAATTTATTGTTACATTTTTAAAAGTATAAGAAAACATATATCTGTGTTTCCATAGCTCATTCTTTCATGGATAAATAGTAGCATACCTTTATACACTTTTATCCAATTTGCTTCTTTCACTGTCCTGGAGATCACTCCATAGTAGTGTCTAGAGATAGTCTTCATTCATTTTTACTGCATAGAACTCCATTGGTGTGGACATTCTATAGTTTATTCAACCTATTCATGGACATTTGGATAGTTTCCAAATGTGTTACAAAGAAGATACAATAATAGCCTTGAGTATGCATCTTTTTCTATTTTTGTTGACTATTGTTAATATTAACGTTTTTAATGTTTCAGGTTAAAAATGATGTTAGTTATTTATCTTTAATTTTTGTTATATATCGTACATGATTTTGGTTACCATATTTGAAGTCTGAAAAATGCCGTTTTTGGTTAAAATTGAAAGATGTTGAACCTTTTTGGTAAATCTAATAGTGAGCTATTTTATAATCTAGGCCCATTTTATGGTACACTTCCTTTGAAAATGGTAGCTGAGGTGATCCTTTGTATAGATCACTTTTCCCATAAAGTGACTATGAACTTTAAAAAAATTACAGCAATAAGGCGGGTATCTGGTGGCTTCTGTAACACAAACTTCACTTAAGGTGATGCTTAGGGAAACAAAGCCAAACCTTCCCAAAGAGCTTGTGACAGTAGAGGTGTTTTCAAGATTCCATTGGTGGGGTCAAGATATGAACTTGGAAGGAAGTCCTAGCCTGACTTTTCCGGTAATGGAAAAAGAACACTGACCTGATGGTTTCACTCTGTGACATCTCCAAGTCAAGTCATCTTTTATACATTGTTAACAACAAAGGGGGGGGGGTTGAGTTGGCTTTCAGGAGAAATGAAAAAAAAAAAAAGATCACATCTGTGTACTCTACAAGTTCTCCATAGAGGTCAGGCCAAGGTCATAAGTTGTTGTCCACTAAATCGGGGCACTGACATTCATTTAAACTGGAGCTAGCTCTACATAGCTGATGGCCTGTTTTCTAGATCTCTCATGCACCTGCTTCTCAAATCCAGTCCATTTAAAAAAATTGCCCTTTAAGGTTGGGGTCAGGGGAATAAGTCTGAGAACAGAACAAACCATTATAGAAAAAAACAGATATGTGGAAGCAGAGATTCATGATAACCTAAGTCCTCTGAAACTGGGGTTTTTTCCACAGTAGCAAGGCATTAATGTGTGAGTGGTTGTGCGTTAGTTGTTTCCTGGAAGGTGGTAAATTTGGGATCAGGTCCTTCTTACCGTGTGCTCTGATAGTCTTTCAAGTACCAGAGCTCTCAATTGCAGTGCCATAATTTAATTCTGACAGCTGTTGGGTTGTTGGAAAAGTCATGACATATTTTTTTCTATGTTTGTTCATTGCAAAAATGAGCCATGACTTTTCCGACAACCCAATATGTTTTGTTTGTCTGTATGCCCAAGTCCTGTTTATCTGTAAAACTCTGTATGTCCTTCAGGCCCGTTTCCCCTGCAGACACTTACAAATTACTTTCACTTTTGACGCACCTTAAAATACCAAGTCTCTTGTGAAGCTCTGCTTTTTCCCTTTTGCTCCTGAAATAAATTCGGGTTGATGATTTTCTTCCAGGATACATTGTATGACCAAGACATTATGAACCCAAGCCTTTAGTTATTTTTCATAGAGATTGCCCATTTCTGATCTGTGTAAACAGCTTGCGTCTCTCTGCTCCTGAATGTAAAGAGGCAGATAATATTTCTAGGTTTGTTGAAAGGCAGTGAAGTTCTGCTAACATGAGACTGACAACAAATAACTGAAAAGGCAGTGTAGGGTCCTGTAATTGTGTGTCTGCGACGTGCAGGTTACCTGAACCCTGAATTCAGACCTGCGCATCCTGACGAGGTACACACCGCATGATGCATTACAGGATCTGTCCCCTCTCTGTGTCAGTTCCTCCCTTTTGAGTCCTCTTGGCCTGAGCTGCCAGGGTGCACTGTGGGCTGAGCCTGGACACCGCATCTGACTGCAGGTCCCCAGTTGAGGATGGAAATCTTGCCACTGACAGTCCTTCGCCCCCCACTCTTTCTTCCCCTCATCTTCCTCGTCCGCCTCTCCACCCTCT